CATAACACCATCTCCCCCCGAAGGTTTCTGTATCCAAGTATACTGGCAGCCTTGATATGAAATATCAAACAATTCCGCCTCTTCTAGGCAAAGATGAAATTCTTCCATGTCAGAATTTCGCCTAGATGAACCTCCCAACCCATCATGAGGGAAAAGCATAGAATTAAAATCACCCATCGCAACCCATGCTTTCCTTTGATTAAACACATGAAATTCACCCAACGCCCGCCAAAGCACACGCCTTTCCAAGCCCGTATTACACCCATAGACAAACGTAATAAAAACAGGCTCCTGATGACCAAAAAGCCGAATTTCACAGTGGATATATTGTTGGTGCTGTTCAATGAGAAGGATAGAAAGAACTACTGGGTCCCATGCAATAATAATGCGAGCGCCTTGTTCACAAATAGAGCCATTCGAAATCCAACTCCAAGTACCAAAAACACTAGTACAAACATCCCCCAAGTGATTAGATGTAACTTTTGATTCAATTAAGCAACATAAAGAAAGACGCTTATGATGAATTAAATCACGAACCTCCTTCCGTTTAATAAGGGCATTTAAACCCCTAATATTCCACATGGCGAACTTGATCATTGAGACGAAGCAATAGTGACAGCCTCACCTCGTTTTCCCATAAGGTGCCCCTCGGTGTCAATGATCTCCATATCGTCATCATCATCACTAGAATCGCTGGAAGATAGAGAAGCAAACCGATTACTAGAATCCAAAGCATGAAACTCGCCTCTCCTTGGTTTAAACGCTTGGACCACCTTTTGAATTAACTTCGGATCCTCTTCTGATAAAATTGTCACGTCTGGGTTATCTTCTCTACCCCTTGGTGTTCGTCCCACATCAACCGTACATAACTGACCTGCCACCTTTCCAACATCCGGCTCTCCCGAATTAGTTGATCCCCCAGAACATGGGAGGGTGTCATATTTATAATTGGAATCGTCACCCAAGCCCTTTGACTCCTTCTGAACCCTTTTTAAGGTACCAACTCCAGACAAAGAATCCTGCTTACCTGAAACCGTACCCGAAGAAGATGGCCGGACGTCAGATTTATCTTTTTGTCGCCATTGTTTGCGTCTGACCTCTTTAAATCCCCCTTTTTGGGAGAAAGGTTTAGAGCCCGTTTGCTTAGCATTGATCCCCTTCATACAAGATCCCGAACGATGGCCAAAAACCTTGCAAGATGAACACTTTTGTAACATCCAAGGGAAAGCAGATCCGCGGTTTCACACTCTTCTCAACCGGAAAATAAGAAAGTTCTGTCGAGGTAGTACGACCCACAATTTCTGCAAATGACTTTTTAGGCACCTCACAGTGATCACCCCTAACCGCTGGAGAAAGACGTTCCCAAACCGACACCCTCGGATTTGATTCAGCATTAACTCCAGCCCTCTTCTGTATACCCTTATGCAACGGAGGACCATTTATCATGCAAGGATCCGACTTATCCAAAATAACATCAGCAAAATCCTGGGGAGAATCATCTTCCAAGATAACATCCGCAAAGTCAGACATCCTAACCAAAGGGCAAGAATACCTAGTCTACTATAACCCTAAACAAGAAGCCGTGGCGCTGAATCCCTAGTCAAGCAGTCTCAATAAAGTAAACGAAGACCTTGGAAAAAGGTGCTGAATACTCTATCAATAAACTTAACAAAGGAGACGAAGACCACAGAAACACTTGATGCAGGAAAATAAACTAGATATTGCCTTCAAACAGAAAAACCACCAAAAACAGCAGCAAAAATCGAGAAGCAGCAAAAACAGCAAACAGACCCCAAAAATCAGCAGCAAACTCCAGCAAAAACCGGCCGAACAGTAGGCAACAAGAATCACAACAAGAGCAGACCAAACGTGATAACAGCTTGAGCACAACAGCAACAGTCCCACAACCAAAACAGCAGCAACGAAAGAGACGTTAATCGTGAACAACGAGTGCCACAAGACAAACCAGCAGATCGAAAAATCTAAACGTGAAGCAGTTAAATCCACATAAAATCACAGCCCCAGCCAACAGTGACGAAGAAAAATAACACCCGACCAGTAGATCAAGATAACCAGCAGCAAGACAATAACTAAAGAAAACCCAGCAATCTCCACATAAAATCACAGGAAATCACAGCAAAATCTCAGAGAGTAAAAACAGCAACCAAACTGCTGCAGAACGAGAACATAGCAGGTCGCGACTGGATCAAAACCATTGGGCAAACCGGCACCAAAGAAGGCGGAGACCAGAGTTCCACTAAAAACCCTAGTCCAAACCCTTACCCACCACGACACTAGTCGACAGTTACAAGAGCCAGCAGAACATCATATTTATTCTAATGAGATGTTAATTGGAGTAATTGAGGTAGAATGGGTCTTAAAGGTCCTTAATGGTCCATGTGGTGTTAGTGGATATAATGGACGTATTTCTCCTTAAAAAGTCCAATTTGGTCAATATGACTCAAACTAGGTCGTAATTTGTCTTTTTAGACCCTAATGGGTTTAATGGGCCCAATCCTCCATAAGCAGTCTAATTGGGTCAAAATGACTCTAAATGGGTCATATTTTGTTTGTCCAAACCTTAATGGGTATCGTGAGCTTATTTCTCCTCTTTGAGTCTAATTAACTTAAAATGGAACTAAATGGTTCATAATTAGTCTACTGAAAGGGGAAGATCCCCGGGCAATTTTATAAAGGCAATAAAAACAGAACCGTTACAAAGATAATCAGCAAGAAAAACTACGGCAACTTTGACTTACAAACCAAGCCATAAGAAGCCAAAAATGACAAAGAGAAGTACACCAAAGCATAAAATTAAAGCAAGCCAAAGAATAAACGGCAAAACAAACCCACAAAATCCCAAAACGAGAAACCACACCACCCACAAAATCACATAGCATTAGTGATCTTCATCTTCTTCCAAGTCTTCCAAGCCATACGTTGAAGAATCTGCATCTTGATCTCCGCAACAACTTTTTCCCCTGTATGATTGAAGTTATCAAAGAACTTCCTGTTTCTTTCCCTCCATATRTGGTAWACCGTGGCCGATATACCAAGTTTTTGAACAGTAGACCAAGATTTCCATCGTTGAGCTAAACCCATGTTTAGAATATCCTCCCAATTGTTCAAACAATTCGTTAACCCCACCTCCTTTTTAATGACTTCCAAATACTGCTTGAGTAATTGCATTCGAAAAATAAGTGATTGTGCATTTCAATCACTGATTTACAGAACACACATTTCAAATCCAGCGGTTCATGCTTCCACTGACTGATGCGATCTTGAGTTGGTAATTTATTCTGACAAGCCATTCACATGCAAAGAGCATGTTTAGGTATGTATGCTTTATTCCATACCAGCTTGTACCAATGCACAATCGGCCTTACTTCCTGAACAGTTTGCCATGCCACTTTGACCTCAAAATTTCCCCGAGAAAGTTTAGCATCAAGCCATCTGACCGTATCCTCGATTTGGCTGGGAGAAGGTATCATAATACTTTGCAGCTGAGGGTATTGTTGAATCTAATCTACCGGCCAAGTAGTGCCAAAGCATTGCATTACATCAGAAACCGTAGAGTTATTGCAAAAGCCATGACCATTTAAGAATCTATAAGACGGTAACTGAATAAGGGGCCCAAATTCACTCCACATATCTTCCCAGGCATGCGTAGATAAACCATTTCCCACATTGTAGATAAAAAATCTCCTGCAGTGAGAACGTAAGTTTAATAGGCTCCGCAGAATCCACGACCATTCATTTCTCTTCTTGATAACCCAAAAGTTTTGGCCCCGAATACAATGAGACTGAATCCAAGAGACCCACATGGTATTTCTGCGAGTCAGAATATCCCAAATATGTTTGAAAAGTAACCACCGATTCCAAATCGCTAGTCTTTTCATACCAAGACCCCCATTTTTAATAGGCAAACAAACCCTATCCCAAGCAACTCGACATTTTCCAAACTGACCCTCTGCTTTATTCCATAAAAAGTTACGAAACAGCTGCTCTATTTCATGGATTGTGGTTGCCGGTACTAGAAATACCGACATCCAATAGGTTTGCATAGAATGAAGAACAGAAAGGATAAGCTGTCGTCTTCCTCCATAAGAAAGGAATTTGTTATTCCAATTCAAAAGTCGAGATTTAAGCTTTAGTATAAGGGGAATTAAAATCACGTACCTTCAATCGAACTGGGGATAGAGGAACTCCCAGGTAATGAATAGGGAACACCCCGGCCGAAATGGTGAGCTATTACGAATAAGATTTTGAACCTCCAATCCCACATTCTCGAAAAACACTTCACTTTTTTCCAGACTCGGAGACAAACCTGATCGTTCTTCAAATAATTGGAGAGCACGCTTGATAACTTCCACCGAGGTAGTATCCCCCCAAGAAAAAATAAACAAATCATCCGCAAAGCATAAATGGGTCAACTTTATCTCAGCACAACCTTGATGGTACGCAAAATTTTCCTCCTCCTCAATACATTTGGAAAGAAGCATCGAAAGACCTTCCATAACCACAGTAAACAAGTAAGGAGATAAAGGATCCCCTTGTCGGAGGCCCCGTTTACCAAGAAAAAAACCCTCCGGTTGACCATTAACACATATGGAGAAAGAAGGCGAAGTGATTAGAGTCTTTATCCAGTTTATCATAACTGGATGAAAACCCATTCCCTTTAGCATCTCTAACAGAAATTGCCAGTCAACTGTATCATAGGCTTTCCGAATGTCAATTCTTAAACGCACATTTTGGTTCCCCTTCAGATTTTTGATAACCAGCAACAAGTTCATGCGCCATTAAGATATTATCCGATATCTGACGCCCAGGGATGAACGCAGATTGGGCCTTGCTAATAAGAACATCCAAAGAGCCTTTTATCCGTTCAGCAATAATTTTACTGATACATTTCAGCAACACATTACAACAAGCAATTGGGCGAAAATCAGTAACGCATGAAGCATTAGGAACCTTCGAGACGAGACAAAGAAGAGTACGGTTCAGCTGATATTCCAAAGTTCCAGAATAGATAAAATTATGAATCCCAATGAGAACGTAAGGACCTTACCCACCACGCTCCAAGCCGCTTTAAAGAATTTTGACGAAAACCCATCAGGTCGTGGCGCCTTATCATTCCCAATATCAAACAGAGCATCCTTTATTTCCATATCCGAAATCGGCCTAATTAAGTGCAGAGATTCCGATAACGAAAGAGAATGAGCAAATGAGCAATCCACCATGGAAGGAGGAACCAACATATTAGAAGTACCCAGAATTCCTTCAAAGTGATTAATAAAAGCTTTTGGAACATCCTGATGCTCAAAAACAGTACCAAACGAATCCCTAATAGTAGCAATATGGCTCCTATTACGCTTCTCTTTCATAACATGGAAGAAGAAATTTGAGTTTCCATCACCTTCATTAAGCCAAGAGATCTTAGCTTTTTGACGAACCATATCCTCTTGATCATTTCTAGCCTTTTGATATGCGAATAAGAGGTGAGCAATATCCTCTTTCAGCAAATCATTAAACGGGTCTAGATCACAAGCCAATTGAGCAACATCAAGCTCCGTCTTTAACTGAGCCACCCTATTATCCAAACACCCATAAGAATTTTTGAGCCGACGACAAACCCCTTTCATTTCTTGCAATTTCCGAATCACTATTTTCATATATGAACCTCTCAGAGGTTTTATCCACACCCCCTCCACAGACTTAAGGAAATCCACATGAGAAGTATTAAAATTATCAAATTTAAAACCACACTGACGAATACGTCTACCAACTTTAAAAGAAAGAATACCCGGAGAATGATTTGAGATCCCCCTTGGTTCAAAGAAAACCGAGGCGTCCCCAAATTGAGCAATAAAAGCAGAATTCCCTAAGATACGATCAAGTTTACGCATAATACCATTACCCCCTGAAGGTTTCTGTATCCAGGTAAATTGGCATCCCTGATACGAGATATCAAACAATTCAGCCTCTTCCAGACAAAGATGAAACTCCTCCATATCAGAGTTTCGTCTAGAGGAGCCGCCCAAACCATCATGTGGAAAAAGCATAGAGTTGAAATCTCCCATTACAACCCAAGCTTTCCTTTGGACAAAAGCACTAAATTTACCAATATTTCTCCAAAGATCACGTCTTTCCACTCCCGTATTACACCCATAAACAAAAGAAATAAAAATTGGTTCAAGGTGACCAACAATCATAATTTCACAATGCACATATTGAGATTGCTGCTCAATCATTATCAGGGATAACACAGAGGGATCCCAAGCGATAATAAGCTGCGTACCTTGGTCACACATTAACCCATTTGTGATCCAACTCCAATTACCAAAAACTTTACCACAAACTTCCCCCAGGTGACTATGAACAACTTTAGATTCAATAATACAACATAAAGAAAGATGCTTTATATGAATTAAATCACGTACCTCTTTTTGCTTTATTAGGGCATTAAGACCCCTAATATTCCATGCAGCGAACTTTATCATTGAGAAGTGAGACGTTAATGAGAGTAGCTGAGGTAGAATGGGTTTTAATGGTCCTTAATCGAGTCATTTGGGTCAAAACTACACTACGTGGATATAATGGGCCTATTTATTTTAATGGAGTCATTTGGATCAAAATGACACTACGTGGATCATTATTAATCCGATTAGACTTTAATGAGTTTAGTAGGCTCATTTCTCCATAAGGAGTCTAATTGGGTCAAAATGATGTTAAATGGGTCATATTTAGTCTGATCAGACCTTAATGGGTATGATGGGTTTATTTCTCCTATTTGAGTCTAATTGCAATATAATGGTACTAAATGGTTCATAATTACTCTAATCAGACGTTAATGAGAGTAATTTATGTAGAATGGGTCTTAATGTCCTTAATGGTCCATTTGGTGTTAGTGGATATAATKGGCCAATTTCTCCTTAAAAAATCCAATTGGGTCAAAATGATAAGTCATAATTAGTATTTTTAGACCCTAATGTGTTTAATGGCCCCAATTCTCCATAATGGGTATCGGGGGCTTATTTCTCCTAATTGAGCTATAATGGTACTAAACGGTTTATAATTAGTATAATATGACGTTAATGGGAGTAATTTAGATAGAATGGGTCTTAATAGTCCTTAATGGGTCCATATGGTGTTAGTGGTTAAAATGGGCCTATTTCTCGTTAAAAAATCCAATTGAGTCAAAATGACACCAACTAGGTCATAAATAGTCTCATTAGACCTTGATGAGTTTAATGGGCCCATTTCTTTGTAATAAGTCTAATTGGGTCTAAATAACACTAAATGGGTCATAATTAGTCTAACTAGATGTTAATATGAGTAATTGAGGTGTAATGGGTCTTAAGTGTCCTTAATGGGTCCATCTACACTTTTTTTTTGAACGGAAACCAGGCAATTTTATAAAACATAAAGAAAATTACAGCAAAGCGACCAAAAACAGACCACTACCAACGCAACAAAAAACAAACGACTTGGAAAAACCCATACCAAGCCACCAAAAGCCAAAACAAACAAAGCCCAACCGACTCAAACAAACAACTAAAAATAAAGAAGAAAAGGAGCTGAAAACGCCCAAAAGCTCCCCTAACACAGCAAAAACCCGTAAAAATCAACCAGTATTGCCAAATAACCGCTTCTCCAACCAAGCCACACGAATTTCAACAGTCTGAACAATGGCTTGGATAATCTGCTCGATATTTCGACGATCCTCAGAAAAAAGTCTTCTATTCCGTTCCTGCCAAATGAAATAAACCGAAGCCGCTACCGCAAGTTTCTGCTTTAATCGCTTTGGACGATGAGTAGAATCCGAAAGAGCTTCCAAAATTTGGTCCCACACATAAGGCATAGTAGTCAAATCAACAATATGTAAGACGTAGCCCCATACTTCACGAGCAAAAGTACACTGGAAAAATAAATGTGCATGACTATCCACACTCTGACCACAAAGTGAACACTCTAGGTCAGGAGGTTCATCCTTCCAAAGTAAACGGTCTTGAGTAG